CATTAACAGAATGAAATTCACATCACATCCATAGATGCAGAAAAAGTGATAAAATTCAACATCTTTTCATGATAAAAACTCTGAACAAACTGGGAATAGAGAGAAATTACTTCAACATGATGAAGTCCATATAGGAAAATCCCTTTGCTAACATCCTACTAGTTATGACTTGAATATGAGATGTGTTCCTTTGTTAACTCAGGAGTATTCAGAGGTAAAATGATTAGATTATAAGAACTATAACCTAACAGGTGGATTAATCCATTTGCTGGATTAATTATTTGAATGGACAAGCTAGGTAGTAACTATAGGCAAGTGGGGCATGGCTGGAGGATGTGGATCACTGGGAGCATGCCCTGGGGATTATATATCTTGTCCTCCCGGCTCTTTCTCTCCCTTCAATTTTTTTCTATTCACATCTCTATTTTATTTTTATTTGTTCTTTTTAAATAAACACAACAGTGGAGTGTATTTTGACATATTATACATACATGGTGTATAACTTATTCTAATTAGGATCCTAATCTTGTGGTTGTACATGATGTGGAGTTACCCTGGTTGTGTGTTCATATATAAGGATACTAGAGAAATGCAAATTAAAACTACACTGTGATTCCATCTCTCTTTTTTAGTTGCCATGAGGTAAGTAGCTTTCTTCTGTCATCCTTTCATCGTGGTGTTCTGCCTCACCCAGACCCAAAGTGATAGAGTCAACTGACTCTGAAACTATGAGTCCAAAATAAACTTTTATTCCTCTAAGTTTGTTCTGATGGGTGTTTTGGTTATAGCAATGTAAAGTTGACTAACATGGTACTCAATGGTTATAAACAGAAAGCTTTTCCACTAAGATCAGAAATAAGGCAAGAATGTACATTCTCTCTACTTCTATTCAACATAATAATGGAAGTCCTGGCCAGGGTAATTAAAGAAGAAAAAGAAATAAAAGAAAGCTGAATAGGAAAAAATAAAACAAAATTTCCCTATGTGCAGATGACATTATATAATATATAAAATCTCTAAAGACTTCCCCCCAGCTCTGAGAACCAATAAAAGAATTTAGCAAAGTTGCAGGATACAAAATCAGTTTGGTTTCTATGCACTATTAATGAACTATCTGAAAAAAAATAGAAAAATCCCAATTATCACAGTATAAAATAATAAAATATTTAGGAACAAACTTAAAGTAATAAAAGACTTGTAAAGTGAAAATTACAAAACATTAGAGAAGGAAATTAAAGAAGATTGAACAAAAGGAAAGACATCTAGTGTTCATGGGCTGGGAGACTTATTATTGTTAAAATATTCATCCTACTCCAAAGTGTTTACAGATTCAATGCAATCCCTATCAAAATCACAATGGTCAGTGTTTACAGATTCAATGCAATCCCTATCAAAATCACAATGGTCACAAGTCTCAGGTTCAATCTCCAGCACCAGAAAAAAAAAAAAAAACCACAATGTTGTTTTTTACAAAAATGGAAAATAAAATTCTAAAATGTATATGTACCATAAAAGACCTCATATAGCCAAACAATCTCAAAAAAAGAAAAGAAAAACTGGAAGCATTGCACTTCCTGTTCTCAAAATACACTACAAAGATACAGTAATGAAAATAGTATGGCACTGGCACAAAGATATACATATAGATCAATAAAACAGAATAGAGAGCCCCAAAACAAATCCATGTGTGTATGGTCAATGATCATCAGCAAGCATGCCAAGAAAACACAATGGGGAAAGGATATATCTTCAAACAATGTGTTAGAAAATTGGATGTCCACATGCAGAAGAATGATCCTGAATCCTTTATACTAAACAAGAGCATCAACTCAAATTAGGATTAAGGATTTAAATGTAAAACCCAAAACTGTGAAACTTTTAGAAGGAAACATAACAGTAATCTTGGCAATGATTTCATGGATATGACACCAAAAGCATAGGCAGCAAAAGCAAAATTAGACAAGTTGGACTATATCAACCTTAAAAGTTCTACATAGCAAAGAACTGATCAATAGAGAGGAAAGGCAACATATGAAATGGGACAGAATATTTTCAAATCATATATCTGATAAGAGTTAATATCAAAAATTTATGAGTAATTCCTATAATTCAATATCAAAAAAATGAACACACCTTTAAAAATGGGCAAGATCTTGACTACGCATTTCTCTAAAGCAGACATACAATAGCCAAGAAGTATATAAAAAATGTCAGTGTCACTAATTACCAAGAAAATGCAAATAAAACTACATGAAATCTCACCTTACATCTGTTCAGATACTTTTCAATAAAAAAACAGTATGTGTTGCCAGGAGGATGGAGAAATTGGAATCTTGTACACTGTGTGGGAATGCAAAAATAGCTGCTAAGGAAACAATATGGAGGTTCCTCAAACAATTAAAAATAGAACTTCCATAAGATGCAATAATCCCACTTCTGGATATATATATCTATATCTATAGATATAGATAGATATACCATTGTGCTTATAGATAACAATACTATATTATACACTTAAAATTCTAAAAGGGCAGATCTCAGTAACTGTTCTCATTAAAATAAAATAGAAGACAGAGCAAATGGTACTTGCAATGGAGAACTTGTTAATTAATCTCTAAAACTCTGCATGTTAACTGATATCAGAATCTTGAAAAGATATCAGTAACTACCCTGTTCATTGCAGAACTATTCAGAATAGTCAAAATATAGAAGTAACCTAAATGTCTATTGACAGATGAATGATGAATAGACAAAATAATAGCAGTAATAATGTGATATATATGTATAAATAAACAACCATATTTATTTATAATTTATTAATATAGTTTACATACACAAGTAAGTATATTTATTTACATTAGGTATATTTATAAATACTTATACATATGTTTACTTATAAATATTTTTATTTATACATATAATGAAATATTTTATTCAGTCTTTAATAAGGAATTTTGTAATGTGCAACATATGGATGAATGTTATATTAAGTAAAATAAATCAATCAAAAAAACAAAAAATACCACATAATTCCACTCATATGAAGGTATCTAAAGTAGCCAAAATTGCCAGGTATGGTGGCGTTGCCTGTAATCCTAGCTACTTGGAAGGCTAATGCAGGAGGATTATAAATTTGAGGCCAGCCTGGACAAGTTAGTATGAACTTGTCTCAGAATAAAATAAAAAGGGTTGGGATATAGCTCAGTGGTGGAGTGCTCGCTTAGCATATATAAAACTGGATTTAATCCCTAGGATGACAAAACAGTTTTCTGATCTTGGCTCTGGCCCTTCAATATCTGCTGCCAATCACACTGAGACAATAAATATGGTTACCTCTTAGAATGTAATTCTGAGAGCCACATCCTCATACACTTAGTAGTTACTGATATGACTCACTTCCCTTAGTATTAGTTCATGCTCAGTTTTTATAACCACTGTAGTCCACCAATGGAAGCTTGAAGGGGCACTAGAGATGGGGCACTGGAGACTTGGTTATCATTGACACCTTCTATGACAAATCTCACTATCCCAATTCTATTCTATCATGTTTTACTGGACATTCTACAAAGGAACCGGAGATTAGTTTGCCTTGGGAGACCTACACAGTAATTTCTTCATGCATTTGCAGATTGAGATAATGGCTATATGTCTAAAAACATATTTCAGAAATCAGAAATAGGAAAGCTCTCAATGGACAAATATTTAATTGATGTCATTTCTAATTCTTGATGGAATGAGAAAAATCAAACAATTCCATTTGAAAAGAATTTCAGTTCATCCTGGCTATTAAATTCCCTTTTGAACATAGGATTAGATATTCAGATTATCAAGACAAATTTAGATAATGAAATAGTTAACTTTTCAGGCCAAAGTAAGTTAACAGTAAGTGCAAGTCCTGGATTTGGAAAATTCTCCATCTCTTTGCTAAAGACCTGCCTCAGAGAGTAAGAGAGAAGCTGAAGACATAATGCACCTTGTTTTTCAGGAAAAAAAGTAGATAATCTTTTTATAATCATGGCATTTTAGAGCTGGAATTAACAGATAAAAACATTAGTATTAGACCTAGTCCTCTAATTTTATGAGCGAGGGAAATGAAGCCCAGAAAATTCAGTGACTTACTCAAGGTCAAACAATATCAAGTTGTTTTTAATCATTTGGAGAAAAATAAAAACTTTAAGTCAATCAAATCATTACAAAAATGGAGAACATTGGGAAAAAAAGAGGGTCTTGGTGAAGAGAGACAAAGAGAAGAAGTGCAGGGAATAAATAGTATGGGCCCTGGAGCTGGCCCTCTGGTTGTGTCCCTGGGCACTCAACTTCCTTTTATTATTACTTTATCAAGTGTGTGCAGAGCCAAGTGCCCTGATGCAGAAACACAGTATTGTGATAAAGATGATAATAAAAACAAAACTTAAAATGATGTAAAACCATCGAATGTTCTCACAGTAAATCTATAAGGTAGTATAGATCCATGGAAAACAAGATAACATGTTATGAATGAAAAAGGTAAGGTAAACTTGCCTGAGATCACACAGTTGGTAAAAGATAGAGTCAGTTTCTAGGAAGTTTGATTCCAGAACTGGAAGGAGATCCTGTATTTCAGAGGATCTAGGGGCATATTAGTAGACGCTGGATCTGTCCAGTTCTCCTAAGCTCCTTTAGACTTCTGTCCTCTGCTGAGACTCAGAACCCAGTTCTGACAAATGCCACTTTAGAAATGGTATACACAACAAATTTTCAAAGCACATAAGTTATATTCAAATGTGAAACAAATAAATAAAAAAAGATGAGCATGCTGCCAAAGAAAAGTATGAGGATCCACAAACCATGAGAATCCCTCCTACTGAAATACATAGATGTGTGGTAAAAACATCAAGCACTGAAAGGACCTGGGATAATACAATCCACCAATGCTAAAGGTCAGAAAGAAAGTTGCTTCATCTAAGGATTTGCTGACAAGGTGTTTATCATTCACATTCTACTAACTGCAAAGGACTTACTCAGTTTATTGATATGAGGAATTAAAATACTCCATGTGTCTAAATATTCAGCTCTAAAGCCATCCATGGAAAACAAGATAACAGGTGGCAGGTCAAACCTGAAAATGGAAAACAAAAAGTTTATCCATGATTTTAATTGATAAAAACAAAAATATACTTTTCAGTACTACTTGTAATTCTCTGAATTAGGAAATGCTTAGAAAGGAGAGTAAGAAAAGTTCAGAGTCGAGTAGGAACCATTGAATTTCAATGCAATTATATTATGAAATTTAGAAAATTGTTTAGGGGATGTTTTATCTTAAAGTTCTACATATTTGACTTTGTATTCTAATATCTCAGAATATTAACATACTCCTCAAAAGCATTTCAATCTCTTCTTTTTAGACTGGTAGTTAAGGTAAAATGATTAAAGATGGCTTTTGGATTATAGCTAAAGGCTATTGTTATTGTTGTTTAATTTAATACTTTTTCACTGTCTTTGAGTTTTATCCATATGACACACACGTACACACACACACACACACACATATTCACAGGTGTATGTATATCCTGATAATTTTTTTCTAACTGAACTCAGCCATGTTGACATCACCAAGATCAACATCACTGGCACCCCAAAGTTGCCCCTGGTACTTCCCTCTAGTCAGTAAACTCCACAAACCACAGCCTCAAATCAGGATGAGCAATATCTTGACTTCTAACAGCATAATTAATTGTACCTACTTTTGTACTGACATTTACATGTAAATTGAATGACACAGTATACATTTCGTTAAGTCTGGATTTTTAAAAATATTTTTTTAGTTGTAGATGAACATAGAGTATCTTTATTTTTATGTGGTGCTGAGGATGGAACCCAGTTTATCACATGTGAGAGGCAAGCGCTTTACCACTGAGCTACAGTCCCAGCCTCAAGTCTGTTTTTTTTTTTACTTGACATGATTGAGATTAATCCATCTTGTTGCATATAGTTAAAGATCATTTTTCCAGTGCATGAACAGACCACAAACTTATTCATTCTATGTTTAACAGGGTGTTTTCCAAATTGGGGCTACTATGAATAGCAGATATGAACAGAGTAAATTTGTTTTAAATTCCAAATACAATGAACACAAAGGAATATACAAAAGAAATTATTTTCAACTCTGCTCAAGCAGTTATACAAATAAAATTCTAATAAAAACATACAAACATACTTGCCTAAAAATTTTGGCTAGAATACGTCTTAAATTTATGATAAATTACCTAAATATGATGAAAAAGAAAGTTCTGAATGCCTACGCCAAATAAAAATTAGACAGTTATGTCTGTGCTTTAGACATGCTTGAGTAAAGCTAAAGGAAAAAAAACAGTGTCTCCATTTAATTTCACATTGCAAAATAAATTGTGAGAAGCATCTAAAGAAAAGGTCTATTAAACTTCTCAGATTACACATTTATTGTAGAGTATTTCATTTAACAAATATCTGAGTCAGACATTCTGCTAGATGCTTAGAAAAAGAGGCAGAGAGGAGTTGCAGTCCTTGTCTAGGGTATAAAATTCAAAAGTAAAACAGGGTAGTTGAGGGCTAGATTTGAGTACAGGTTGTGATTCAAGTGTATAGAAGGATGTCAAACTCAAGCTCTGTAAGGTGAGAGCAGGCTTTCCAGGAGGCGTGACATGAGCTAAGTCCCAAAGAACTAACAAAAATAACTTGAAAACGGGACTAATGTTTTAATCAGGGATATATTCTGTGCAGAAGCCCATCTGAGAGATTCAAAACGTGCAACAACATGTGAGTGTCAAAAATCACTGGACTGGACTGAGGTTGTAGTTCAGTGGTAGAGTGTTTGCCTAGCACATGGGAGACCCTGGGTTTGATCCTCAGCACCACATAACGATAAATAAATAAGATCATTGTGTCCATCTACAACTAACAATTTTTTTAAAAAAATCATTGGATTAACCTAAAAATGCCAGACACAAGAGAACATATGGTATAATTCCATTGGTTCATACCAAGTTCTAAAACAGGAATCTATAGTGATAGAAATCAGAACAGGGATTGCCTTCGGGGAGTAGAGGGTGAAAAGAGACATAAAGCATCCTTTTGTGATGGTGGGAAATATTCTCTATCTTGCAAATATTAGATTATAGGGAATTTCCAAACACTTAAAAGATGTGAGCATTTCAACATATACACTTAAGATATGAGCATTATGTATGAATTATATGTAAGAATTTAAAAATTAAATAATGAACTACAACATGAAGTAACGTCATCAAAAAACTAAGTGTCCTGGTGTAATTTACATTAGAAATTATCTATTTTTTCAGTCTTTGGCATAATTCTGATTAAAATTTTATGTTCACAAATGTGTTATCAAAATAACCCTATAGAGGATTGCAAGTTCAAAGCCAGCATCAGCATAAGTGAGGCTCTAGGCAACTCAGTGAGACCCTGTCTCAAAATACAAAATAGGACTGGGGATGTGTCTCAGTGGTGGAGTGCCCCTAAGTTCAATCCCCAGTAACCCCTTAACACCCCCACAAAAATAACCCTACAACTTAAAGACAAGGTCAACCATCCATGGGACCACAGGTGGGATCCAAAGATCTAGTACATCTCTTTCTTAATGTCCTCCCTGCCTCTCTAAGCTTGCTACTCAGAGCTCCAGAGCACATTTATACACTGCTACCATGAATGTCCTTGTAGTTCAAACAGCCTTAATTATCTCCTCAGGCTACATTGCTAAAGATGAAATTTTCTGATATAAGGACAAATTCTCAAAGGAGACTAAAATATTTTGTCATGATTCTCTTCATGGCAGTTTTTATCAATTTGTTCTTCCAAAATCAAGACAAATGGCTGTTACTTTGTACAAATAATGGTGTATTGATAATTTTATGGAATGAATTGGTTAACTTCCTTTCATTTTAATTGCTCTAATTTCCAGTAAAGTTGATTGTTACATCTGCATTACTTTTATTATCTACAATGAAGCTTGAATAAGGGCACTCCATATACAAGAATTGTCATCTTGCACCTATTATTTCACATCACCATTAGCAAAAAAAAAAAAAAAACAATAGAATTGGGACACACCTCTAGTTTATCAGTGAGACAGAGAAGATCAAATAAGTTACCCAAGGTTTCCCACTGCCAGGAGAGATAGAGCTAGGCTATTGGTCTACATCAGCCTGACAAAAGAGCCCACAATTTCTTACTATACTTGGATCACTAGTAAAATAATAAGACACACAAACAAGCAAACAGAAATGCTATTTAAATGTCCAGCAAGAAGGGTCTATCTTCTTCCAAATATCAATAAGAGGGAGAGTCTTAGGGTCATACACACAAAAAATTCTTCCCCTCTACCTCTTCTGTCAGTTGCACAGTGCCGCAGCTTCAGACTATTATTTGAGAGAAGCACCAAGCCACAGAGACTCTAGGGCCTTGCTCCCAGAGTTGACTTCCTGCCTCCAGCAATCATAGCAGTGTAAACTGGGGGCAAGGTGCTTCACAGCTATATGCCTCCATTTTATTAAATGAATGACATGGCATGGAATATAGATAATAGAGCCTACTTCAAAGGATTTTTATAGGAATAATATAACATGAAAAATGACTCTGTGTAAAGTACGTACCAGTACCTCATAAGAACTATATAAATATTAGCTGTCATCATTATTATTATTATTATTATTTTAGTACTGGGAATGAAACCAAGGACCTCATGCATGCTAAGCCTGCACTATACCACTGAGCTACATCCCCAGCCCACCTGTTATCATTATTATGCTTTTGTCAGAGATGAATTGTCAGTGTAATTTGGACCCTGAGAAAAGTCCATCTGAATCTATGCTAATTAGTTCTGGGAACAACTTAATAGGTTCAAATGTCAGGTTCATCTAAATAAAATAAGTGACTAAAGAAGAATCCCACTAGAAAAATATTAACTTTTTGAGTAACTAGTGTGTACCATACACCAGAATTAAAGTTAGACTATTGTTTTAGAAGGTAGCAAATATTTTCACTTTCTTAGACCACTTAATTCTCACATGAAATCTTCTGAACTTGGCATTATTATTATTATTCAATTTTATATATGAAGCTCAGAGAAATTACTATTGCCAAGACCCACAGGCAAAACCAGAACTCCAACTCAAATCTCTTTTTTATTCTAAATCCTTTACTCTTCCACGCATAAGCTGCTAAAGAAGACAGCTAGATCTGAGGATTGGGACAAACCAAAGTAGCATGGTACAAAAACAGATGCATTTTATCCATCAATAAGAAAAAATTCTTAAGATTCTTAAATTTAATTGCAAGGATGAAAGGCCCTACAGATAGGAGGTTAATTAGTTAACAAGCTATAGGCCAAGCAGAAGAAAAGTCCATTTTACATTCCTGAATGTATGTTAAAACTTCTAACTCAAATTCCATCCCACCCCCCTAGGTGCCAACACATCCTACTTGCAAACCCCACCTCCTATTCCAGAAACAGCAAGTAGATTGCCCTCCTGCTCTAAAGGTTGACACTCTGCTTAATCTCTCCAGTCTTTTTCATTGCCAATGTACGTTCAATGTGAACAACCTGTGCCTTCCTTCCCCAAATTTTTAGGCTCACTTTAAACTCATGAGCTCAAGCAATCTCTGTGCCTTAGTCTCTAAATAGTTGGAAATAGGCCACTGTATGGTTCTGTACACATTTTTTAAATGAAATAATGCTGTTTTTTATGTGTTCAGCCAATTCTTCCTAAAATCAGGTATACTTCTTACTTCTTCTTCCACCTCACTGTCATGCTTCCATTGCTGGGCCCAGAAAAGTGTGAAGGGCATGGTGGACAAAGGAAGGAATGAAAATATACCCCTGCTTGGAGGCATTCTGGACATCTTCAAGCCTGGGAAAAGCTGTGCAAGCAGCTGTCATAAACATATGAAGGAGAAGCATGGGTTGAATGGCTGTGAGGCGGGGGGTATTAACCTCACATGTTCTTTACCTGTGCTCACTCAATGAGGCCCACCTCATCCATATTATAGGATCTTCCTTATCCTATATGACCTTCTGTGAACCTCGTCCCCATCCCTCAGTAAGAAGAAATTCATAGTGCCAAGATATTAACAGAAAAATGTTCTAGCAGAAGTATTTTCAATCTAAATTCCAGTACTAACCATAGAACCTTGGGAATGTTACTTAATATTCTAACCAACTTTTAAGTCAATGTTGGGAACCATAAATATACTAAATTAACATAAAGAACTTTGAAAATGTTAAAGCCAACAAGTCTATTGTCTTTGAATCCACAAGGAATCCAATCTTTTTTAAACTATTCTGTTTTGAAAAATAAATAAAGGAAATGCCACTCTGTTTCTCAATTACTGTCCCATGTGCCAGCTATCAAAGAAAAGAAATTCCCAACATCACTCGTGCTCACCCTTCTGGACACTGAGTCTGCTCAGCTGTGGTGCAGCCTTCTTCCACCCAAGAGGTTTTTCCTGCAGAGCAGAAGATCAAAATCTTCAGACTATTGTACCACACACAAAAAAGGGAAGCAAGTATTCAGTGGACATGATCTTCCTGAACTGCTTAATAGTGTCACTCCAATAATTAAATTCTTCCAAAACATATAAGTTGTTATTTCACAAGTTGGCAAGGACTGTGCCAATAATAACTTGCAGAGATCCATAATCTGTACCAATTGAATGCCAGGAAGCCAATCTACTGAGGAAAAAAACCAGGGATTCCTTCAGCTATAAAGGGACATTTCCTTTTTTTTTTTTTTTTTTTTGGTTAACAATTTTTCAAATTCCCTACCTCCCCATAGACAATATCTTCTCTAGAAGCTGCTAAAATAAGTCAGTTTAATAAATATAAATATACAATCTAGAGAAAAGAATACATGGAAAAAGAAATAACTAGTGGAAATAATTATATCAAGTGGGCAAAATTTAACAAATGATTAAAATCTTAACAACAACAAAAAAGTTCTTGCTTCATGGATATTTCTCCTTTTAGTGCATTCCAGCTAAATAATAAAGTGGAAATGATAGAGGATGAATGTCACCATTTGCAACCCTGAATGGATCTAGGAATAATTTTCAATGTCTAATATTCCCAAAACAACACAAGTAGACATGATGGACCTCTGGATGGAAGTAGCACTGTCATGTACAAAGTAACTTGCAAAAAAAGAAAGAAAGAAAGAAATGTATAAATTACATCTTAATCTCAACAGTCCTCTGGATCTACCAATTTTCAGGAAATGTATGGTATGATAAATTTCTTAAATCACAAAGGATGCAATCAGCAAAATTTAGAATGGAAAATTTTATTGGAAAAAATGACCCCATTTCTCCAATTGCAAGTGGGAAAAAGAAGAGGGAAGCATATATTTTTAAAGGGCTTAAAATATATCAGTCAGTTGTAATAAATAGCATCTATTTGGATCCTGCTTCAATCTTTTAAAAAAATATTAGGAGACAAGGAGAAGAATTTGAACACTGGGTATTCAATGACCGTAATTAATTATTAATGATGTTTTTAGGTGAATGAATGGTATCATAATTTTGTTAAATCCTTATCTTTTTTACATACATTCTGAAACTAATTGCAAATGAATGATGTTAACTCTAGTATTTGCTTTAAAATGATCTAAAATTTTGAAAGAGAAGTGGAGGAAAATGAGGAGTATATTTTGTTAAGAAAAACTCCCAAAAGAAACAGGCAAAAGTAGGACTAATCACTAGATTTTGTATTAATGTAAAGCTTGAAATTATCTAAAAAGCTTATCTATGTTTATTTAATTACCTAGGTGTATTATCTTTATCTAGATTACTCATTATTACTCATTTTACAACTCAATGAGAATTGTAGTTAATAGAAAACAAGCAGCAATAAACAACAATTGAATCTTGTTTGATAGCAAATAGATTTTTCTGTAGAAGCACAAATAATTTCTATCATACCAAAAGCTAGAATTTTAGTGATTTTTTTTCCAACTTTCTTTCAGTCCTCTATTCATTTAATCTCTTTGATTCTCTTTGAACAGGCTTTACATTCTAGTTGGCTATCTCATTAAGAGTTAGTAAATCTTTGACTTGCTCACTTTACATTTATCTTTAAAGTCATGTTATCTTTTTGAAAATTATGTTTTGTCAACATGAGATAGACTTGGCCATGACTAAACATGTTTTTTTTTGGTGAGAAAAACATCATGCTATTCTATCTCTGCAAATGGTAGAAATGTATCAGAAAGTTTTTAAAAATTCTAAGTTTAACAAAAAAATATAAAAGTAATTAGCTTGTTATAGTCGTGTTTTGTGATTAAAACAAAAAAATGATATCTCTGGAGATACAATTTTGACCAAAAACAGTTAACATTTTTCAGTCTAAGGAATGGAATCCTTAGAGTAAGAAAACATTTACATTTATATTTAAAATAAACTAAACTTATTAAATTAACCCCATTGGATTAACCAAAGAGTGGTAATGATAAATTTCAACACTAGTAGAAATAGACAGCTAGATTAACTCTTTCTGTTGAAGGGGAATGAAGAGAAGGGAGGGGAGGTAGGAATAAGAAAGACAGTAGAATGAATCTGACATAACTCTCCTATGTACATATATGAATACACCACAGTGAATCTCAACATCATGTACATCTACAAGACTGGGATCCTAATTAGAATAAGATACATACCATGTTTTTATAAATATATCAAAATAGATTCTACTGTCATATATAACTAAAAATAACAAATAAAATTTTAAATAAAAGATAAAATCTTGCTGTATGTTTTGACCTGCCATCCTGTATGTTTAGAACGTGCCATCCCATATCTCGTACCACAAGTGTATCTAATATGGTCATTGGAATGAAAATGATCTTGGTTCCAAGACAAAGAAGTATAAGCTTTTTCCTGTCTTTTCTATACCTTGTGATGGTTTCCTTTCCTCTATTGTGTATAAACCATATTTCCTCCCATAGTAAACATATTTGATCATTTCTTTGATATATGGAGTAGTAACTAAAAATTATCTGACTTTTCATTTTTGCAGCCCAGGATAGCTCTAGAAAACTCAGGGTTCCACTGAACTCAGAAGCAAATCCATCAACATCCTTCTGCTTACCTTGGCAAACACTCTTGTAGTTAGCACAGCAGTCTCGCTTCAGCAAACAGTCCTCTGCACAGGAGCAAAGACTGGCCACCTTTCTGCTTTCCCCACAACGAGATGAACTGCATGACCATATTTGAGCTGTAAAATTATGCAATTCAGTTCTGGGCATTTATCTTAAGTATCCAATTCAAAAGGTACAAATTTGATGCATTTCTCCATGTGTTTTTATAAAACAGTCAAATTATTGTGTTATCTGCATTAACAAATGAAAACATATTAAAGAAGAAGCAATCTATTCCTTAGCATGAGGGCAGAGATAAATGCAGCCCTATAAGCTGCAACCCTGATCCCCTCACAGATGCACTCTGAGTTTAGAAAAGCTCTAAACATGGGTCCTATTTCCACCCAAGGGTAAAAATTTCCCATGGTGAAACTCCATTAGTCTTGACGAGTCATGGCTACCCAAGAGCAGCTTTGTCCAGCCTTGTCTAAGGACAGCCAGCTAGGAAGAGACAGTGGTGATAATAATTCAAGGAGCATATCATTCATGTCTTTAGGGCCACAGGCAAGTCAGATAGAAGTGGTGGGACAACTCCAACTACACCTTTGGTGTTCTTCCAGGCTTTGTACTTAGTGTGAGAGAAGTTTAAATAAATCCCATTGCTAACATCAACATGAAGCTGAAGGAAAGCTGTTTCCCATTGCCACCTGCTAGGAAACAATGACTAAAATCAACATCAGCCTGTGCTTAAACAAACACATTGGATAGGTGAATGCTGGGTGTGTCCACTGTGCATAGAGTTCTTCATTCCCAGTCATTTATTACTTAGAAAGAAGAGATCTGGGGAGATAAAGTAAAGGGAGTACAGATAGCTATCTATAGAGAGTTATCCCCTCCCTTTTACACTTTTCAGAGAACATAATGTAAAGAATTCTACTATTCTAATCTTCACTCTTATCCAACCACTAGCTGCCCTCCACCTTCCCTGACTATTTAGAGAATTAAATACTAAAACTATGTCTTCTATCTGGTGGATAGTGTTTCTCAAATTGTGCTTTGAGAAGTGCTGGCAGCAGAATGATTAAGAATTATAATTTTCAAATCTTAAGAACCTTGAAATTTAAAACCAACTGCAAATGAAACTAAGATGTTTATCTCAAGCTATAGTAAAATCCACTGGGATTTACATAATTACATGGCATTTCATCCTGTAGATAGTTGTCCTTTTATTTCAATCAACTAAAGTGTGGACTCTGTTGATCTGTAAAGGGTGATTGGTAGTAACAGACTCTGTATAAAAGGTGGTATGGAGTGAATTGTGCTCCTAGAAAGATGCTGAAGTCCTAACCTCCAATATCTCTGAATGTGATCTTATTTGGAAATGTGTCCAGATTACACACAGATAATCAAGTAAAATGAAATCATCAAGGTTGGTCCTAATCTAGTATGACTGATGTTCTTATAAAAAGGAGAAATTTGGATACAGATACACACAGATACAAGACTGTGTGAAAAGACACAGATTTTGTGAAGATGAAAATTGAGTTTGGAGTTGTGCCACTATCAGCGAAGGAATACCACCAACCCACCAGAAGCTAGAGGACTGGCAAAGAAGAGATTATCCCTCACAGCCTTCAGAAGGACATAGATCTTCCAATATCTCAATCTTGGACTTCTAGCTTCCAGAAACTTCCAGACAATGGATTGCAGGTTTTTAAACTACTAGGTTTGTGGTACTTTGTTGTGGCAGTGCTAGGAAACTTGTACACAAGGTATGTAGGTAAAAATTTGGATATGCATTAATGATAACACAATCAAGGTGATAATAAGTTTTTCTTGAAACTCATACTTGATTCCACACAGACACTTATAAAGTCCCAGCAGCAATCCATTCGGTCTCTACACCCTTCATCACACCGGCAGCCCAACTTTCCTCTAAACGATGAATCAAAGCATTTTCTCCTGCAGCTCTCTGTAAAACAAAGGACATAAAGATGGTACTATTTAGAAGTTAACCTGTATCTCATTCGCAGATGGTAAAAACACATAAAAGTACTTAGCACAGGCTAGCAAAAACAATTTAGATGCTTTTTATGTTCAGTATTATCTGCCAGTGAACTGTGTTAAATAATGAGTCACTGGTATTACAAGGAACACATGGAAGCACACAGTGAGTGAGATGATTCCATTGAGTCTTGGGAAAGGGATCAGGATTATTTAAGCAAAGAAAGGCCAATTCGGAGAACAGCACATAAGACACAATGGCTGAGGGGTAGGATTAAAAGGTAAAGATGGGGAGAGGAAAGCTGCAAAGGCCATATTAAAGAGGCTTGAAGCCCAAACTTTGGTAATGAGAAGCTCTTAAAGAATAAGCAGAGAACAAGTAATTAGATCTGTGTTTTATGTACTTATTCTGGAAAATAGGTGAAAGAAGAGACCTCTCTGACCAAGACATTCAAAACCAAAATGATAAGGGCCTAAAGAAGATTGTAGAAGTAGAAACAAAGAACTTATAAATGAGCTTTCAGAGAAATTAGAGTGCAGTTAAGAGGAGGACAGATTTATATAAAGAGTGAAGAAGGAGAAAGAGGCAAGAATGCCTTCCAAGATGTTGGGCAAGGACCTGAAGGAAGGTAAGGTCAGTTTTGCTGGACATCCAAGCAGACAGATACCCAGAAGGGAATCTGTATATTTGGATTTGAAGCTCAGGAAAGAGCGAGATAAAAATAAAGATACTAATTTTTGGAGTCCTCAGTATATTAGCAATAATAAGCAATGAGAACACCATTCTCACTGTGACGTCCTCATTAAAAAGTGTGTACTCAGCTAAATACAATTTCTCCTTGCCATGAATTCCTATTGATGCTTTTTACCTATAATTTTCTGTGATACTCATTACTCCCTTTGTACCCCATTGAAGGCAAGGAGGGTATAAATGGTAAGACTGGGACAATTCAACTATGTGTACCTTGTCCCCATCTCTTGAAAACCATTACATAGTTTTAAATTTATATGTTTATTTATTACATACATATTATTTTAGAATCATTATGTTCCCTAGTCATTGAGATAAAATGATAAATAATGCAGATAGTTATAGAGACTTTATAGTAATAAAATATTTTTAAGAAATGGTAGTGATAGGCCCAGGTACAGTGGCATATTCTTGTAATCCCAGTGACTTTGAGAGGCTGAGGCAGAAGGGTCAAAACTTCAAGATCAGCCTCAGCAACTTAGTGAGGCTCTCAGCAACTTATCAAGGGCCGGTCTCAAAATATAAAAAAAAAAAAAAGACTGAGGATGTAGCTAAGAAGTAAAGTACCCCTGGGTTCAAAACCCAGTACCAAAAAAAAAAAAAAAAAGAGAGAAAGAAAGAAAAAAAAAAGAAATAGTAGTGACAAAGCAACAATGAATACTACATGGAATTAGGACAACTAGTTAGCTATACGGGGAGAGAAGACATCTTAATATTCTTACCTAATGACAAATACAAAAATTAATATTAGAGGCCTAACAAAATATAAATGTCTCAGGAGTCAAGTATCAATTTTAAAATGCATAAGAGAGGTGAAAGAGGAGGAAGATCAACGTGAGAGGCACAGAAAGTAAGGGCCCTCACATAATGTAGCTCCTCAACTCAGACTCCAAAGGAGACAAAACAGAACTCATATGCTTTTCAAAGTTCTAAAACAGAAGTTTATTTAGCTTTTGAGAAACGAGGTCATTTTTCACTAATAAATTAATGAGATATGCTGTTGTTTATGTAAATGTATAACATCTATGAAGGTTACATGATGACTTGAAATAAAGGGGTTAAAATGTAAATTTAAAAAAGAAAAAGATAAAGGAAAGAAAAAAAGCAGCACTCCAGACTCAAAGACTCACAAGCTAGAGGAATTTAGTGGTGACTTTGGTATCAAAATAGACACAGGGCTAGGGTTATGGCTTAGTGGTAGAGTGCTCACCTAGCACATGCAAGGCCCTGGGTTCAATCCTAAGTACCACATAAAAATAAATAAATAAAATAAAGGTATTTTGTCCAACTACAAAAGAAAACAGCCACAGAGGAAGACAGTACAATGAGAAAAGGAACAAGCCTTACTGTGAAATCTAAACAGACGGTCAGAAGACCTTTGAGGAGAGCAGGATGGCATGCAACATGAGATAAAAATCAAAATAAATAAGAGAAAACCTTGGTTAACAAGGAAATGACACAGGAGGCCAAAGAGTTGAGACACACACACACACACACAATTAATATTCAGATCCTCTAAAGGAGATATTCCACAAACATAAAAGTAAACTACAATAAAAAAGAAAAACACCATTCAGCATGCTCTCAGAAATAAAAATATAACAGTAGCAATGAAAACCATAGCAGAGGCATGTGGTAGGCACAATTAAGATCCTCAAGAGGACTCCATATCCTAAGCACTGCTACCAAGAAGTTGTTGACTTATATAATAAATGGACTTTACAAATGTAAGTAAGGCTACTAATTGACTGATCTCCTGGAAGCCAAGAACAGAATGGTAGTTAATAGAGGCTGAGGTGAGTAGGAGGGAGAGAGGGAAAGGGAAAGGTTGATCATTAGGTACTAAGTTTCAAACAGAACCAAGAAATTCTGGAGTGCTATTGCACAGTACAGTGACAACTGATAAGAATAATTTCCTGTATATTTGGGAAAACTAGAAGACAGGACTTTGAATGTTTTCACCATAAGGAAATGATAAGTGAGAAGTTAGCTAGGTTTACCCTGATTTGAATATTATACAATACATACATGTATCAAAACATCACATGGTACCCCATAAATATGTACAATTTGTGTGTTTTTATGCACTAGTTAAATTTTTTTAACTAAAAAACAGGTATACCTCAAAATGTAAACAACAAATGAAGATGATATTATTTTTAAAAGCTGCAAAATTGATTAGACAAAAATGTTTGAGCAGCAAATATTATTACATCAAATTGCCTACCAAGTTTCCCTGGGGAAAGTTCACATGAAGAGATCAGTAAGGTTAAGAGATGTGAAAGATCCTAGAGAGATCATGAGCAATGTAAAAATGATTACAAATTAGAAAAGCACCAAATTTCTTAAAAGCAACACTGAAAACGAAGAGACTAAAAGGTAATATCTTCAAATCTACAGAGGAAAATTATTTTCACCTTAGAATTCAATATCTAGGCAACCTACCCAATGTTAGATTAGGATGTCAAAGATGCATTTAGATAGGCAAGGACTCGAGTTTTATCTTCTATGCATCCTATCTTAGGAAGCTACCAAGGACATTCTGTAGTAAAATAAGGAAGTAAAGCAAGAAAAGGAGACTTAATGAACACAATCTGCAACAAAACAGACAGGCTGATGTTAGAAAACACTGGCCATATACCAAGTCCAAAAAGCAACCAACATGGATGTGATTAACAGGACAATGAAAGAAGTTAAAATAAAAGATATTATACTATATGCAAACTTTTTGTGGTCAAAAACATAATGCCAAGGGTTGGTGGTAATGTGTGATAAAGGTAGGGTAGGCTGTGGAAAGTGGGCTAACTGGAGTGAAGAATGGTGAACACTGTCCAGAGGTGGAGCTTAGAGAAACAGAGGTGGTAGGAGATAAATAATAAAGGGGATAAAGATGCTAAATGCTAAGGAATGTTAAAAAGGATGAATATGGCAAAAGAGAAGCTAGGAGAGGGAAGAGAATGATGCCACAAAAAGACTGAGATGGAGGAAGAGAAAAAGGTAAAATGACCCTGGGCAGTCAACCAGTACTGAAGAAAGAGTGTGAGTGAAAGAGCTGAAAGATTTTATTCAGAGATTAATACATGCCTTTTGCAATCAATTTATGCAATTTTGAAGATAAACTTGCCAAGAAATGATGCCCATTTTTGAGCACTTAGATCAGCAAACTACTACTAAAATGGCCTGCCAATATTCATTAGAGTAAGGACTAGCACCACCGCTTAGAGACACCACAGTCAAGTGAATAAGAGAGGATAGCAATGTTCCAGCTAATATTTGCCTTTCCAGTTTTACTGGATCCTCATATTATAAAGGGGAATAGAGTATTAATTCTCAAGTGAAATCCTGACCAAAAAGTTGTCAGTTGACCTCTCCAAGTGGTCCCCTACTGAAAAGCACCAACACTTTTCCCCCAGAGTTAAGATAGAAGTTATCAGTCAAACTGAAAGGAGTAATGAATGTTCTAACAACTGCTCCTGCTTCATCTTAGTAAAAATACCTAAATAATAGATTAAAAAATGAAAGAAAATGCTTTTTAGAGTCACTCATAAATGGTGTGTTTATTAGGCATACTAATGGGATACAGAAAAATGGATGTGAAGTGTTTATATATTGGGGGCATGCATTTCCTATTTTTCTTTGCTTCTTATGAAACAAAATTTTCAAAGTTTTACTATATTTCATCACATAATTGTCACTACCACATTAACATACATTCATAAGTATCCCATTCATCCTAACCTTGAACCAAAGACAGCTTAGTAATAAATAATTTCTAAGTAATAGGGGAACAATGAAAAGAGAAATTTCAGAAAAAAAAAAGCTTTACATAATGGTCACACCCCACTTTTTTGCAAAAAGAAAAATTAGCATAAAATCTGCAAATACTATGGTGAAACAGAGCATTATACACCACTTTTCAAGATTTGGCACTGCCTAACCAAGATATAATAAGATTTCAGAGATGGAATAATATTAATATGGTATCAAGGTACAGGACAGGTGGCAGGAGGTCCTAGAGGTAGGACAGCAAAGGCTTCCAAGTCCAAGAGGCTGTACATTTTGTCATCAGATATATACAGTTACAGTAGGAGCGGAACAGAAAGTCTGTGGTCAATTATCAAAGTTCTCTGTACTGGAATAATACTTGTGCAGGAGCTTTTGTGTGAGGACAGAAGAATAAAGTCCAGAAATGATAGTGGACAATGTTAAACACAGATGGGGGTTTCTGGGGAGTGAGGTGTGAGAAGGGAAAGGATTGGAAGGAAAACTAGGCATAGAGGAGAGAAGAAACTTGGGTGAAGACAAGTTTTTAATGGATTAAGGCCAGGAGAAACAAGAAATAAGAGAATGTTTTGGGGAAAAAGAGAACAAAAGGCTGACTGGTATACCTTCATTGTCTTGTGCCCTGAGTCCAAGTCCCAGGCCTAATCCAAGTGACAGGATCACCAACAAAGCAAGAAGAACCTATTACAAAAAAGGAAAAGTCACCTTTATAATTTTTTTTAAATATACGAAGTTATAAATAACCACAGTCACAGTGAATATTAAGTACCCACAACATTTGAGATCCAATAATGATAGAGGTACATTATTTGTTTAATCACCCCAAATAGGAAAGATTTGTAAAGAGTTTTAAAATACCATTTATTGTATATCTCCATGTCCAAACACTTTCATAGTTTAAATAAAATGAGCTTAACCCCAAATTAAATTAATTGAGAATTAAAACCATAAGATCCTTTTGCCTTTGCCATTTTTCTTTTTTCTTGTGTTTTTTTTTAAATTTTATTAATTCCAGTGGGGGGTCTCACTATGTTGCCCAGGATGCTCTCAACTCATGGCTTCTAGCAATCCTCCTACCTCAGCCTCCCAAATAGCTGGGACTATAGGCACACACCACCACACCTGGCTTCATTTTGTTTTAACTAGGCATCGTGGAAATCATTTCTAGTAAGGCACTCCAGGATTCAGCACATGTGTTGTTATGGAAACTTAACTTGGCAGGGGAAGAATTGACTGTTGATGAGGGACAGATTTCCACACAATAATAACAAAGCAAGAACTCAAGGGACAGTGGGGTGGTGTTGAAACTGGGGCAGCAAATAGAAGACCTGTTTCCCCAAAAGTTTGATGGTGAAGGGAAAAAACAGAGCAATAAAATCAGAGCTTTTTATTTTATTCATTAAGACAAAGGTGATCCTGCCACATAAAAAGACAAGAATGAGAAGACAGACAAAAAAAAAAAAAAAAGACTTTCTCTAGAATTTAATTAAATTAGGATAAAATCAATAGTTTAAAAAAAAAGGTATGATTATTTAGTATCTCACCCTCTGGCCTTAAAATGTTCATGCAATAAACAAGTGACTTGGGGGGTAATTGTAATCATGCGAAAAAGTCAGTGCTGCAAGGTTTCTGTTGGGAAGCCAACTTTTAATTAGACATTAACCTATGGTTACTCAAATTTCTTACTTGTAGAATATGATTACAAATGTTAACTTGCATTGGAGTTGTCATAGGAATCAAGCTGAATTTTAGCATTTGTCATAAAGCTAGAAAACTAAAATTAAGAACTGTACTTACGATACAAATTATTTTGTATTTCTTGACAGTGTTCTTCTTAGCAGGCTCTTCCGTTGCTAAAGTTAGCATAGAATCCATTGTTCCAGACTCTGCATAAACCTGTTTGGCCAGAAGAGAGTGGTGTTCCTTCTTTCCTCTAGTCTGTAAAGAGAAACCATACTGAGTTACATAGCTGTGCCTGACTTTTAAAGAGCTCAGCTCTTTAGTGATTGCGTAATCTAGAAAGGATAAAAATATTGTAGTAATTGTAGTGCCAAAAGGTTCAAGTCTGTTACTAGGACATTGTTTACAACTGTCCTTTTTCTCCTAATAATTCATAGTAAATGCTAATCAAGATCTATGTAATGAGAATGATATAATAATCAAATTTGAATACAAGCTTATCATTTATTTTCCCTAAAAATAACTCCAAACAACTCTTGTTACAGGTAGTTTCTACATTTTATATATACTTCATGCTACACAGTCAAAAACTAACATTAAAAATATGGTTTTGACTATAGTAGTAATTCTGAATTTATACTGAACCAATATAAACTGCTTAATTCTTTGAAAATTATGTCTCATATTTTATAGGGCTCCAAATTGAAGACACATTTTGAAACACATTATCTCATATTAAACTTGACAATATTCCTTCTAGTCATTTTATTCCTATTTCTTAGATGAGTAAATTAAGGCTCTCATTATTTAAATTATGTGACTTATTTGTCCAAAGTCACATATTTAGTAAATGCCAGAATTACAAATTAAACCCATCTTCTAACTCCCTAAATCTAAGATATTTTTCACTAATTAACTAAACTTATTTTCTTATTAATATAGACCAGGGCATCTTAATACATGCACTATGTGCTGAGATGAGGTTACAGGTTTATGATGTAAGGAGCTAAATTAATAGCAGGATGCCAAAAAGTTTTAGTTAATAGTGAGCACTAAGCTCTTCTATTTTCAGTGACCCTAAGACAGTGATTTTCAGTGTGGTACCATGGAACATTGATCCCATGATAACTGCCTTGGTCAAATAAACCTTGAGAACACTTCTCAAATGTAAAGATTATAAAATTCCCATATGCTGAATTTATATAAATTCCCATATCCTTTGGAAAACACTAAGTAAACTTTTTCCAACCCCAAAAGCAGTGAAAATAAACAAATTTATTTATCTATTGTATAATGCTTCATAAATGTTAAGGACATTCTGGAAAACATCTAAATCCCCCTTTTCTGTTATTGAAGTAACTCCCTTAGGAAAAAATCTGCAGCATAAGAGCCAGGTTTCCTTGTATGGCTTTGAGGGTTGTGATACTTTCTATCACTCTTATAGTCCAACCTGCCCATCACTTCACCAACTCTACCAACAAGCCTACTCAGCAGAAGCACTGGCATTAGTTGCTGAAACAAAAGGAATTGTTTGAGAACTATAAGATTCCACAGAAATCATCAAATCCAGGGTCTTGAACACTTTTTTTCCAGGGACCCCAGTGAATTGTCAGGTTAAACAAACAAAAATATATTGGAATACTGTTAGCATAAAGTTCTCCACACTGGATAGCTTATTAGTATTCAGAGATAGGATTTTTGTTACTGTTGTTGTTGTTGTTTGTTTGTTTTCTAATTCTGAAGCCCAGGCTCTTTGGGTTAAATTAGAACTTTCCATAGTTTTGCTAAGGCTTCAGAATTTTTAAAAATATCCCTCCAAGTGATATTTTATGCAGTAAAGGTCAGTCTAAATACTTTGCCTTAAATAGTGCATTTTAAAATTCTCTTAGGCAAACATTCACTCTATGCTAATCAAACTTGCATATATTACAGGTAAGTTCACCCAAGGGGCTTGGTCATCTGTGCAAGATTTCCTTTTGGTGATATTTCAGAAGTGAGATACCACTTCAGAGAGTCTTATTGTTGTGTCATACTGATTTTATAAAAGAATGATCAAGCCTATATCAAAATTTGCTTCAAAATTAGGGAACCCCCAGGACCTATGGTTTTTATCTAGTCATCTGTCATATGCTTTAAGTTCTTGTGGGCTTCTCGACTATCTGTACTTGTGACATTCTTTCTGCTTTGCCTTAAGTCTGATTCCTGAGGCTCCTACTTTTATCTTCCCCTCTGTGAAGGCTGTTTGTATCAACTTGGTTAAGCTACAATAGTCAGTTATTTAATCAAACACAAATCTAGGGTGTTGCTATGATGATATTTTATAGATGTGGTAACAACTATAATCAGTTGACTTTAAAAATTATCAATTATTATGTGAGTGGACCTCATTTAGTCACTGGAGGACTTTAAAAGTTGAACTTATCAGATAAGAAATTCTGTCTTATGACAGCAGCATTAGCCTGCGGTTTCAGCCTACCGGTCTCCATTGCCACCTCATTCTCTGTCCTTTGGAGTTTGGACATACCAGTCCCCACAGTCAGGTGAGCTGATTCCTTGATATCAATGTTCCACTCTCTCTCTCTCTTTCTGTCCCTGATCCAGAGACTTTGTTCGCTTATTTTTTCTTGGAAGACTTTTATTAGTGGTGGTAACATGGTCCTTACCTTATATACCTAGCTTTATGCTTGCCACTCATCTTCAGTAAATGAAGGGAACATATAAGTAGCTGAAAATATAAAGAAAATAATAAGAATGACTGAATCAAGAGTCAGGAAAGTGGTTACATCTGGGAGGAGGGAAGGGGATATCACTAAGTAGGGGTACACATTGGGATTCTCTGTTTTTGGCAATGTTTTCCTTCCTTCCTCCCTTCCTTTCTCATTTTCAGTACTGGGGTTTGAACCCAGAGACTTACACATGCTAAGCAAGTGCTCTACCAGTAAGCTACATTCCCACTACTTTTTATTTTGATATAGTCTAATGTAAATTGCCAGGCTGTCTTCAAACTTGTGGTCTTCCTGCCTCAGACTCCTAAGTAGCTGCAGTTATAGGCATGCACCACCATGCCCTCAATGCCTCATTTCTTAATCTCATGAAAGCACACAGATATCTGTCTTATTGTTATTTTTAAAATTATATATATATATATATTATTGGTATGCTCACCCTTACATATAACTGATTTCATGATGAAAAATAAGAGTATTCTCAAAGATGCTTTTTACCTCTAATGCTAACACTTAAGATTCATATTGCCGAGTCCTGCAAAATGCCTCTCTGACAAAAGGCACAACCAGATTTTAACTATGAGGCAGATTTCACTACATTGATTGTTAACATCATGAAAGTGCCTGCCAAAAGGTAAGTAGGTAGGCAGTTTTATGGGTCTAGACTCCTTGTATGCTCTACATGGGAATACTGTGAGGATGGGGAGGAGAGTCACTAAGCAATTCATACTTCACTCTCAAAAGACCAAGTGAAAATAGTGAATGATAAATATGTCCATAAAAGAAACACCTTGCAAACTGAAATTCTAAACAAAGTTGACATTTTGTCATATATATTATAGTAGCAAAAATGAATACTCAAAGATAACATGACTAGTTATAAAATTATTGTATCTCCACTAAACCATTCAACATATTTTGGAATATTTAACCATGAAATGCCATTTGAAACTTGAAGTATGCAATTTTAAGATAAAAGGAACAAGTTCTCTGTGTTTTTATATAATCAATGAACCTGTGGAACTTTTGCCAAATGGGACAACACAGGTTAAAAACATAAATTAGTTCTAGAACAGTTTCAAATAAAATTATGAACATACCACCTACCACACTGTTCAACATATGTACCAAGAGATTAGGAATACAAATAATATTTTGTCAATTGGTAGATTCTGATATAATCCCCTCTGGTGTTGAGAAACGAATGTGACCCCATTTTTGAAGAAACCAGTCTCTACCTCAGAGCAAGGCCTGTCCAAAGGGGGAGGGGGATGACCAAGTGTTCCTAAATTCCAGGAAAGGCCTGTGGAACCAGATACCTCTAACTGTAGTGAACAAATAGCCTTGACTCAGCAATGCAAGACCAAAAACCTAATGTCGAACCATAGCAACAACCAATCAGAATGAGACAGGGAAAATATCTGAAATGTCAGGTGACCCTCCCATTAGTTTTGGTGATTAATAACATGATTAGGTAACCCTGCAAGTTTAGCACATACACCCCTCACACCTAAATCAATCAGTTCAAATGTATCCACCACTTGAACGAACCAATCACCCTTACCCAACTCGTTCCCACCAGTGAACGTGCTAATCAATGTTAAGAATTCTTGTTTGATTTTCCCGTGGTATGAAATGATTTGCTGTGTGATGTTGTGATGCACAGAGTATCCCCAAAAAACCTATAAATCCTCACTGAACTAAGGGTCAGGACTCACTCCTCAGGACTCCTGCGTCTGAAAGAGTGAGTCCAGGCTCGAGCTTGCCATAAAGACTCTTGTGTGATTGCATCGGATTTGGCTCCTGGAGGTCTATTGGGGGTCCCATGAATCTGGCATTACCGTGTCCATTCAAATGGCTAGAAAGACCAATGAGTCAACTCAAAATGAGAACACTAACATATTCTTACACACCAATTGAGAGAATATTACATATTATATATGGCCAACTTTCCCCAAAAACATATATGGAGATGAAAGAGGTATATATATTTTAATATTTAAAGGATTTCAAGATTGTATACTAATAATCCAGCTAAAATTTATGATAAATCCTGAATTGTTTTTGTAGGAAGAGAAAGAAAAAAAGAGAGAGAGAGAGAGGAAGAGGGGAGGAAAGAAGGAAGAGAGGAGGAAGGAAGGGAAAGAGAATAAATAAAAAAACGCATAAGAGGAAGAAAGGAAGGAAGGAACTTGATTGAATGTTTTATATCCTCTTATCAATGAGGGAAGACACAGGGAGGGAGGAGAAGGAAAGAGAAGAAGGAAGGGAAGACAGAGAGGAGTAAAGAAAGAAAAAAACAAGAAAATTCTGAACACAGACATTGGGAAAAACAACCTCCCTGAGTGAGCTCCCTGCTGCAAGTTAATCTTTTCATGGAAACAGTTGGTGTCCAGTGCAATCAGGAAATACTTCTAAAACAAAAGTGGGATCTGGGAGTACTTACAATGTCGAACTAAAAAAAGTATG